ATCTACAATGCAAACCCTACATCTAAGGCTCAGGGAACATACCATAAGAGGGGCAGAAAGACTGTAAAAGCCAGAAGACTGAGACACCAGGGGCTAGACTGTGTCTTCTAGCCATACAGGGATGCTGCCCCTCCCTCCCTCCCAATCCACCCCCCCAACCCTCAACCCCCCGCCCCAGCCAACCACCTGCCGTGAAACCCTAACACTATGGCCACCTGAACAATGAGTATTATTAGCAAGGTGTGACTTCTCTCCAAGTATGTGAGACAGGCCAAGGCCAGTGCTTTCTAGGGTTTGTCTCTGTTAAAACTCAATCTGCAGCTCAGGTCCTCAATTCACATGCTAATGTATTTGGAGCTGAAGTCTTTGAGAATCAGGATTAGATGAAGTTTCAGGAAGGGGCCCCCAGGACAGGATTTAGTGGTTTTCAAGGTTGCTCTCACTCACATAATGCTGCAATACTTGGATATTCTCTAAGTATGTCCTCCAAAGTTTCATGTGTTGAAATCTTGGACCTCAGCCTGCCAGAATTAAGAGGTGGTGGGACTTTTAAAAGAAGCCAAACAAATGGTCATTAGGAAAACTGTCCTTGGGACATAAATCTCCCAGAACTCCAATGACTCTCTGGATTCTTGTCTCACTATGTGATCTGTTCCATTCAAAGAAACTCCCACCACGATGCAATTTACCACAAGGTCTTCACCAGATCCCAGCTCTAGCATCATGCTACAGAGCCTCAGGATCTGTGGGATAATAAGCTATCCAGATTTACATGGCCTAATACATGTTCTCGGTCATGTTATAACCCAGAAAGAAACCCTATAATTTGAGCCACAGTCTTGATTAAGACGATGAAATTTTGTTAGTTGGCTGATTTTAACCAAATCTATTGTTAATTTGGTGCAAAAGTCAACCAACAACTCTTTTTGTTGCTATGAATTATTCTAAAGCATGCCAATGCCATTGTTGCAGGAATCTTCAAAGTTCTTATTAATAAAATCAAACCCGAGGCCGGTTATTGGGGTGAATACTGGAAGGTCTGAGAGACAGAACAAGCCACAGCTATCTCACCTCGCCGGATCCTCAGCTGGTCTTGTCTCCTCAGACTGGAGGCCTCTGAGTCCTCATCCGGAATGGGTCTCAGCAGAATTACTGCTCAAAAGCCTGAAGCTTAACCAGGCCAAAATCTGAACCAGCCAAATGCTTAACCAGCCAAATTCTTCTAGTTTCTGGTCCTCATGCCTTATATATCTTTCTGTTTTCTACCACCACTCCCTGGGATTAAAGGCTGGCTTTCTGGGACTAAAGGCGTGTGTCACCATGCTTGGCTATTTCCAATGTGGCCTTGAACTCACAGAGATCGAGAGGGATTTCTATCTCTGGAATGCTAGGATTAAAGGTGTGAGTGCCACCATTTTCTAGCCTTTGTATCTAGTGGCTGTCTGTTCTCTGACCCCAGATAAATTTATTAGAGTACACAATATTTTGGGGAATACAATACCACCACATGCCATGCTTTTCAACTTCCTGGCAAATATACTTGTATTCTTTATAAAAAAAAAAAAAATGAACTACAACAATCGGCCAGACAGTACTGACCAGTGGTCGATAAGCCTGATTGGCCTGTCCCAGTGAGGAGTAGGAAAACGAACTTCAGAATGGCTTCTATGGTGGCGTCAGGGATCCTAGGCTTGGAACCCAATGACACAGTGCTTACTACAAAAGGAAAAAGAGGAGGGACTTCATTGACAAAATGTCATAGACTTAATATTGGGACTCATATTAGTTACACCTGAGAATATCAGTAAGTGTAAACATTGAGGTCCCCTGTGTTATGATATATTATGTGGGGACCCAGAGGATATACCGAGTGTGCAGGGAAACATGCTGACATGCTGGGCAGATGCATTGGTGGACTGGCAGGCGGCTCGGCAGCGGGTGGACATTCACAACCCAGATCCTACAATTCGCGCAGAAATGGTTTATTATAATAGAGAGATGGGGAGAAGATAGGAAAGAGGGGGAGAAGAGAGAAAGAGAGAGAGAAAGAGAAGGAGTTTTTCCTTAAGAAGAGGCTTCTACATCAGGACGCAGGGCGGCCCCAAGGGGTGGGATTTCAAGGGGGCAGGTCAGAATATTAACACCCTGTAGTCTTCAAAAAAACTGATATGAAAGAGGGAAAATAGGTATGATAAATTTAATTACAATTTTTGTATAGTCCTATATAGTATCCAGAGACCTAAAATATTCTATATTGAGCACAGAAACCTTAAGACAATGAGTGATAAATTCAAATTAAATTAAGTCATTGGCAATTACAAATTAATTTGATAACTAGGCCCCACAGACTCTCAGTTAAAGTAGTTAATATTGCCCAATGTTAATTAAAATGACCTTTAATAATTAAAGCTTATTACCTAATATCTAATTAAAAGGAAATGACTTTCCCACTGCTTATCTGTTTAGTAGACCCAATTTTTGCTTTGCTAGTTCTTGAACCTGGAGGAAGATAAATAAGAACTCCTGGGGCCTCACTTAATCCTGTGGTTCCTTCTACTATGGCCTCCAGTACCCAGAACTATTAAAATTGCCCATCTTACCTCATCCACAGCCACAAGTGGTTATTTATAGACTTGGCCAGTATGTTCTCTACACAGCTTCCCGCAACAGCCATCTAGGCACAATCTGTCTTCTCTGGAGGGACACAGCACACCACGGGGACCTGAACAGCTTTGCTGCTATGCAATATCTTACCCACAGGACACAGGGGTGGCATTAGATTAATGACACATTCTGCCAAGGTAACCTGTATAACACACTCATTAAGGGAAAGCAAGTCCACAGTGAGTCCTCTCCAGATTCCAGTGGCAACGTATTCATCATTCATCATTCACAAATTCCACATGCAGCTAAGGGTTGTGGCGACTTACAAAACAGCCTGCCTTTTCTCCCACAAAAGGCCCTGACATCTGTTCAAACTTTTAAAATAGAGGCTGGGGACTGCTAAGTTTCAAACCCGGGACAAATGGCTAGGGTGCCTATTTAACATATCAAAGCAGATCTGGCATGTTCTCCCAGTATACCTCAGTTCCTACCTGTTACAGGGTACGGATCTCAGTGTACCCTGCCTTCCACCCTGAACTCTAACCTGAGGTGCCTATTTAACAGGGACATGGCACAGTTGGAGCTGCTTGCCAGAACCAGTTTGGAGAGGAAAAGGTTTATTTCATCTTACAGTTATAGTCCATCATCAAGGGAAGCCAAAGCAGGAACCTGGAGGCAGGGACTGAAGCAGAGACCATAGAGGAATGAATGCTGCTTACTTTTTTTTTTTTTTTTTTTTTTTTTTTTTTGTGTAGCTTTGTGCCTTTCCTGGGACTCACTTGGTAGCCCAGGCTGGCCTCAAACTCACAGAGATCTGCCTGGCTCTGCCTCCCGAGTGCTGGGATTAAAGGCGTGCGCCACCACCGCCCGGCTTACTGGCTTCCTGTTCATGGTTTGCTCAGTTTGCTTTCTTATACAGCCCAGGACTACCTGCCCAGGGGTGGCAATACCCACAATATGCTGGACCCTCCCACTACAATTATCAATCAAGAAAATGCCCCCAAGGATTTGCCTACATGCCAATTTGACGGAGGCTACTTTTCAACTGAGGTCATTCCTTTCAGGTGACTCTAGTTTGTGTTAAGTCAACAGAAACTAGCTAGTATACCTATTATGTAGGAAGCCCTGGAGCCCAGCACCATACAACCTTAACATGGTGGTGCATGCCTTTAATTCTAGCTTTCAGGAGGTGGAGTAAGAAGCATCGGAAGTTCAAGGTGATCCTCAGCTAGATCTCTAGTTCAACTCAGTGCTGAGGCTACATGAAACTAACTCAAAAATAATCAAATTTAATTTAATAATTAAAAAATGAAGAGGCATTCTATTAGCCTCCCTGAGGAGGCCCTGACTCCCTTTTCTTGTGTTTCCCAAAGTGCCTCCCAGATCACTTTCTATGGCAACAAGTCATTCACGGGCTTCTAATGTAAGATACAGCCCCTGTCAACCCTGTGTTTTATGCTACTTAAGTGAATGTGGTTGGGTACATACAACGTGTCTTAGAAATCCTCTCCCTGCCCCTGAGCCTGTGCCCATCCACATCTGTCTGTTTATGGCACTTTGGAACATAGAAATAACCCTAAAGCTCACCAGCCTACCATGTCCTTCTTAAGACAGGATGCAAGTCACCGGGGTCCTCTTGCATATTCCACCCGCAGGAGGTGGCCTTACCTGTCTTCAGTTCCTTACCAGATGTTACAGTGCCAGAGGACATCCTCTTCCCTAGACTGCTTGTGGACTCCCTTGTGGCTAACTGAGAGAACTACTTTGGAGCTCAGAAAATGTAGAAACAGACTTGCCTCCACCAAAAAAATTCCCTGGCCAGGACATTCCTAATGAAAGATGGGGCAGCTTCAAGCAGTTGATACTTGAGACTTTGGTCAACAAATGCTCCACTTTCATGTTTATTACCAATTGTTGGGCCATTGCCCAAGAGTTTCCCATCAACCCCAGCCCCACTCCCAGCCCCAGGTAGAAAGCCTCTGAAAATCTCTTGCTCCATACATCCCTACATGTGAAATTAAAACCACACTTATCTCTGCATAAATTAAGGCCATGGCACAAAGGCTTGTCAAGACACTCCTATTTCCCTTTCAAGTTATAGCTATCATTCATAAAAACTGTGACACATACATCACTCTGAAAGTACATGATGCTGCCTCTTTATGAAGGTCTCTGTAGAAATTTCATATCCATGATGAGTCTCCCATAGCATCTTTAATTAGGAGGGATTATAGCCTCAAGCAGGTGTCTTTCAAATCCTAGCTTGGGAGCAGGTGTCATTCTTATCCAGATCTTAACTCATCTTTATTCAGATCCCGTTGGCCAACTTATACAACTTACACTAAGTTTTTAAAAAGTCCTCATCTCCATTATATTTGAAGGATGTTACATCTTACCTCTTTGTAGTTAATAACTCGTTACAGAGAAGACCCTTTGGATGTGTGGTCTGTATCTCCATTAAGTTTCAGTGGTCTCCTCCTGCAAAGGCTAGAAGTGTTGTATGCCTAAGATATCCAGGGTGGAATTAGAGAACAGCTTTCTGTAAGTCACAGGTCTAAGGAAAAACAGAAGGACAGGAGGAATTAAGAAACTTGACCAAAACCCCAAATAAACACATATCTAATGTGGGAGGCTAAGTCAGGAAGATGCTGCAAGTTCAAGGCCTGCCTAGAATGCTTAGTGAATTTTAGGTTAGCCTGGGCTACAGAATGTGATGCTGTTTCCTGAAACCCAGCAGCAACACTGGTGTCAGGGAACTTGAAATGTTTATAACATTAATATTACACCTCTGATTATAACTCCAAATTATCTTTGCTTTTGTTTGGTATGAAATGCTATAAAAACTCTCCTCCCTTCAATCTGGATTACTTTTCTCACTCCTGTGACAGAAGCCCTAAGAGAAGGAGCCTAAGGCAGGACAGTTTAATGGTTGTAGTACAGTCCATCATGGCAGCCCGGGAAGCTTGGCTTATGTTAATAGGAGCTTGCAGCACCATCTTGGCCCATCAAGAAGCAGAGAGCTCAGCTATCCCCTTCGTCTGGAGCCTGGGACAGAGTTGCTCTGTAGATGTGAAGTGTCACTGTAAGGATGATGACCTTGATGGAGCTAAACTTCAAAGTTTAGCTCCTGTAAAACTGTTATAGAGCTTCCACACAACTGAGGAGATGGTTGCTCAGTGCTCTGGCTCCTTCCATTCATATACTGTCCCTCTTTGACTTGCTGTTTCAAGTGGAATCGAAGAAAGCATTTATTTAGCTGACAGCCTATCACACGGCATCGTTCTGCATAAAATGAACCAATTTATAGTCACTGCCGACAGCTGGTTTGAAGGGCAGGCCATTTGCCTCCGCTGATTACTAGGAACGGGGATTGATTTAGCTCATCAGCCTGTAGCAGCAGATGTTAGAAAGGACCCCATTGTGTCAAGCTCCCAGGTCTCTGGAGACCGACACGTCTCAGCATCAGAACTTCCTGAGCTTGGCATGGCCCTGTGGAGGTCACTTAACCTTCCCCTGACCCTTCTGCTATTTTTAAGATGTCTCAGGGGGGAAAAAAGTTACCATTTCTCCTTGGCAATGAGCTGTCAGGGGAGGGGAAGGGGATTCAATAGCATCTCTGTCTTAGAACTCTATGGACATCAGAAGAGCTCCTGCTGCCAGAAGTGCCCAAAAGGGACAGTGTCTGATGCTATAGTCACAGAAAACATTTAAGGTACATGGTGAGGCTGGCTTTCTCTTCCCCTTCTTTGCTCTAGTGATGAGGGGGCTTGGTATAGGAACTGGTGACATAGTGTCTAGAAACTTACTTCTAGAAGCTTCCACACAGCAGGAAAACTTCCTTAACTCCTGCTCCTGATGCTCTTCCCTGAGGACAAAAATACATAGTTGGTATGACCTCTAGAGCCATGCTATGGGGCCAGGATTCCCCCAGGGAATCAGAGGGATAGAAGAGACCTAGAACATTGTGGAGGAAGGAAGAAGAGAGATTGGGAGCAGAGAGGAAGGCTTTTCCAAACACTGGCCTGAGCGGAGTGATGCCAGATTAATGAGAGATGATGGATATGCACCCTATTCTCTACTCTGTGACATTGTCGGAGGGTGAGTCCCCTTCAGGGGCACATACCCGCTAGGCCCACCTAATGCTGTGAATGTTGCCAGGTTTGGGCATCAGTGATTTGCTGGCCATGCCTTTTTCTTTCCCAGGTTAAAAACCACACTGCAACACCTGAGTCATTTTGGGTGAGTAGGGTCCCTGGGAGGGGAACCTTGGAGGTGGCTGAGTGCTATGAGACACTGTTTCTGGGGACTATCTGAATGGATATCTACTCACCCCACCCAGGGAACTGATGACAGACCAGAGCAACAGAATCACCAAGTCCAACAATGAGAGACCAGAGCAACAGAATCACCAAGTCCAATGATGGCAGACCAGAGCAACAGTATCACCAAGTCTAACGATGACAGACCAGAGCAACAGAATCACCAAGTCCAACAATGACAGACCAGAGCAACAGTATCACCAAGTCCAACAATGACAGACCAGAGCAACAGTATCACCAAGTCCAATGATGACAGACCAGAGCAGCAGCATCACCAAGCCCAACAATGAGAGAGCAGAGCAACAGAATCACCAAGTCCAACTTGGTGAACCAGTGAGTTTCCAGGGGTTACTTACAGGGACAGAGAGGACACAAAGTCAGCTGCCTGGTGCCATCACAATCAGCTTCATGCTGTTTAGAAATACTTTCATATCTGTTGCTCTCTCTGAATCATGCATTTTAGGACCCTCCCATTACAGATCTGGAGACAATTGCTTGGAGAACTCAGTGGGGGGAGAGCTGGGCTTCCAAGGCTCCTGGCTCCACGGCTCCTGCTGTGGTTATCACACACCACTTGAAGGAAGGGAGAGCCTCTGTGGATGAGGGCTGAATTTTTGTGCATCATCATGGAAGTACCACTGTGGATTTTGTGCCCCCTCCAAAAAAAAAATATGGCTGAGATATTGACTTTTGAACTTGTCAGACACCTGTGGTAGGGAAAGGAGAGTTAAAAAGAGATTGTTTCCCTACTCCAGAAAGTACACTAACTCGTATGTGCTCCAAGCCCAACATTTTCACAGCCCAAGGGCCTTACACGGATCAAGATTCAATGACTGTTGTTAGGGCTGTGCCTCACATTTCCCAGAAAAAGCATGCTGCCCTGAGGAACAGCTGGTTTGCCTCTACCTGCGCAGCCTGGAAGGTTCAAGAAGCCACATCTCCACGGCAGGGTCGGCAGCAGCCTCTGAGGCCTCCCTCACACAAAGAGAAACACCCAGCTCATATGTTGTACCCTGGTCCCCTGAGTCAAGACACCCCCCTCCCCCGCAAGCCACTGGCTTTGAATGAAAGACAGTATGGCCAGGATGCAGAGGCCTGTTCATTTGGCCCTTGGGGGACACATTTTGCCACGTGCTCCAAAGCAACCGCTTCCCAACACTGCACAGTGGGATGCATGCTGGAAATGAGGAGCTTCACACCTTGGCCTCAGCCTGCTTAAAACGAGAAAGGCCCCGAGTGACCAGAAGTCATTTCCCAAAAGGGGGAGGGGGAACACGCCGGACAGGGTAGCTGTCCGTTACTTGCTATGATGGGATATGAGCGTTATTTATGGGATTGTTTGTCCCCGATAGGGCAGTGCCAATTAATGAGTAGTTCAAAGTGGCTCAGGAGCCAAGATAAACCACCAGCCTGTGAGTGTTTAGCCAGTGTGTGGAAGCTGAACCTTTAATGGATTTGTTCCCCTTCCCCTGGAAACAGGAAGAAGAATGTCAGCTTTCTCCCGGAGCCTTTGGCGACAGGGCTCAGGCAAGTCATTTTCCCAGCCTTGCCCAGCAAACAAAGATGCTTACATGCTCCCTAGCACTGCAAACAGACTTCCAATGGCAGCTGGTCTTGGGATTAAGTTCCCCTCCCCCTATCCTGGCCCCAGCAGAAATCCTTAGAGCTTGGGGTTTCATTCCTTCCCTGCACACAGGCTCTTTGTAAATGGAAAGAAGAATCCACAAAATGTTACCCTACATCCCTGGGGAACCAGGAGGGGAGGTGTGTGTTTGCACCCAGCCTTGCACACTGTGCAAGGCAATTCAGGGAGCGAGTGACCTTGGCCAGCCATGTGGATTCTTTCCCGAAGTTGCTGTCAGCTCTTTTCAGAAACTGAGCTTCTCAGACAGTCTGAGGTACCTCCTGTTGTCTGGAGCGAGCTGGTGAAGTAACCCCTGATAACATTGCCAGTGTCTCCAGGCAGCTGCACTCCTGACTGAAAAAGTCGGGCCTTAAAATGTTTGGGTGAGTCCAAGAATGACTCTTTGTATCTAGGTTGGCTGCCCAGAACCCCTCTTGACTGCTCAGCTGAGATGCACAGAGATATTCATAGTCAGTGGAGACGAGATATCTAGGGCACCCCCAAGCCACGCAGTGTTTTTGATGTTGTTGTCTCATAATGAGAGTCTCATCCTGCATCTAGGCAGAACCCAGAGGCCAGGAGAAAAGCCACCAGCTGTCTCTGGATATAATCAGGCTGTTTTGTAGCATTACCTGTGAAGTTCCCAGAAGAAAGAAACACACACACACACACACACACACACACACACACACACACACACACACA